ATGCGTTTTTGTTTTCTTTTTAATATTTAGAATTATTTTTTAAAGTATAGTTACATGTTATTATTTTTTTAGTAGCATCGAGAATCATTTCAAAATTTGAAAATGGACAACAAACAAGATGTTGCGTAATGACTGCCCGTAATGTATAGTTTTGTGATAATTCTCGGGAAAAAAATTCACAATAGTGATGGCAGATTGTTATTTAAACCAGAAAAAAAAGAAACGTTTCCGAATATGAAAGCGAAAAAACACCAAAATCTCTTTTAATGCAGGGGGAAACAGAGAGAGTTTCATCAGGCAATCAAACGTGCTTTGATGAATGAGAAATTTAAAGGTTGATCAAATGGTACCGTAGTATTTATTTCGGAAAATGTATCGTTCCATTTACTTTAAAAAATGCTTGTGTGCATTTATGTTATAAATCCTGACTTTTTTTTAATTTTTTTATAGAATTGAGCTGTAAAAAAACTGCCTTCAAGTTCTATATATCGACATTATTTATTGTACTGTAATGCTTCTTAATGAAGTAATTCAGAAAATTAGTAGCTGGAGCACAATCTACAAAAAAATTTTCCTCCCAGAAAAAAATAAAATTATTTTTTGTTTATAAAATATTTTTTTATTTCCTTTTATAAGTATTAATAACCTTAACTAATTTTTTAATACAATTACTATAAGATAGAGAGTTATTTTGTTCTATTATTTTTAAAAAAAATCAGTCTGAGATATTTCAACATAAGTTATTTTGTACAATAAGTTGTCAATAGATATTTACATAAATGTATAACACAACTACATAAATGTATAACATAAATGTATACATTACCAATTTAACATTGTTATACATACTTAACTGCCTATTTATTTAAATTGGGTACTTGCACTGCAAGAAGAAGAAGGTCAGAGATACCCACTCATGTGACCTATGACGTCAGCGCCAGCTGATTATTCATCAACAAAATGGTGTGTTAAAGTTGAGCGAAGTCTCTCCACGCAAGGTGGAATGTTAATTAACCAGAAGTTAATTAAATACAACGCCGTATCGTGCCTCGAATTCGTTGAAATATAATTCCTTCTCGTCTACGTCTTTTACTTAACATAGATTTATTATTTGCTTATGTATTTTATTGTAACCGTGTTATATTTTTGTTTTGTGGCAACTTCGATGCATAATTAGTTTGTTTATGTTCTGCATGACTTCGAGCCTGTTTTTGTGTTAAGTAAGAAATATATAGTGAAAGAATTGAAATCTTTGTGAAAGAATCTTGTGTCACTTAAGAGAATTGATGGGCTTGACTTACTCGAAATAGAATGGAAAGAACAGTTGCTAACGTAAACAAATGTCACGTTTCAACAACCAATCAGGATTGAGATTCCCGCACTTTACCTTCCAAGTCATTTGTCCTACTGATGATGCAGTGGTACTTATGTGACACCCAAAAGCATTTTTTTTTAACGAAATTTTATTATTTGTGATTTGAAAAACTATTTTCAGTCAGTTTAAATTTTTTTCTCAAATGCTTACTTTTCTTATTTATTTTATATAGATTTATTAATTTTGTGTTTGTATTACATTTTTTAAAGCATATTTACTTTAACTGCGGCAATCGGAAATGTTCCTCGTCATCAAAGAAGCCCGTGAAATCATTTGGTTCGGCCAGGTTTGTTGTCGAAGGAAAAAAAAACTTATAAATTTTTTATACAGCTTGTAATCAATTTTCTTAAGTATCAAATATAATACATATTTCCTTATTTTTTTATTTCTATACATTTTTGTATCGTTTTATACATATTTATCCTAATTATTAACATATTGTTTTTTTCATCACAATTTACAATGACATGTCGGATTTATGTATTTTAGTATAACATTTTAGATACATTATAATAAATACTAAAGAACTCCCAGCTATTTCATATTTTTGATTCTTAATAGAAAATTATAAATGAAGTTATCTTACTTTCCTCTCTGCCAATTATTCCAATTCCGATTCAACTCTTCAGCTCATAACTTTATTATAAAGCAAATTACAGACTTATTGCTACAAAGCATTAAATTTCTATTACAAAATGCAAAAACAAATGATTGACTTAAGTTTAAGAATAAAATAATTATACTTATACGATATAAATATGCAAACGGCATAAGACATTCTAAAAAAAATGTTGCCATTTGAAATAAAATTACTCTTGGTTCAAACGATTACTGAACTCTCTTGAAGCAGACGATTAAACAGATATTATCATTAATATATGGTCAGCTTACTTGCATTTTGAAAATTTGAAGTTTTCAAAATAATATTGAGATTAATATATATTTTTTAAATAATGATTTGCATTCTGCATCGTTTTTAATCGTTTCGATAAATTTTAATTATTTTATATTACGTCACTAAATAAAAAATACTGCTTCAAGGATTAAAAAAAATCGACATGTGAAAAATGTAAAATATTTTCGAGAAAAGAATTGTTTAACGTCGAATTCAACATGAATAATTTCTGCTGTAAATAGCTCTAAGAATAATGCTGTAAATATTTCTGCTGTGAATAATTTAAGTTTTCTAGCAAACATTGCATATAAAAAAATTTTCATCAAAAAGTCTCCAAAAATTATGCTTTATTTTATCAAAAAAGAAAAAAAAAGAAAAATGCTGTTCCATTCTTGAATACTTAAACCAGAAAAAAATGGCGCAATTTAGGAATTTTTTTCCAACTTAAAATTAACCTATGTTTTACATAAAACAAGAACTTTTGCAGAACTTTTTTTAGAAATTAGTTATTCTTTAGTAAAAAACTCTTAGAAATGAGGCAAATATTTTTAAAAAAAAATTAAAAATTTCGAATTTTCTAATATTTTAGTTTGCCGGACAACCTATTAACCTTTTTTTAAAATTAATTAGTATAAAACTTCCTTAACATAAAACATAAAAGCTATTTATGAACTATTTAAACATTTTTCTTCGAAAAACCTATAAGGGAAGTCATTTTCTTTCTTAGTAGGATACGTTAAGCTGTCTGTAGCTTATTTACTATCTTATTTAGCTGCGTTGTATTAATAGTAGGAAAAAATTATAAAAGCGATAACTTCCGTTTCGGATGGTGTTAAGTGCATCGCTTTTTTCCGCTTTAGGTTGCTCAAAAATGAAACTATTTTTTATCCATTTTGTCTACTTAAATTTTTATTTTGAATTATGCACTATTATTATTATAATTATTATTGTTATTTATGGATGATAAATTCTTCTTGGCCAAAAATTATGATAGAAGAGATCATAAAACGAATAAAACTTGTATTGCCATGACGTTATCCAGCACAAAGCTCCAGTGAAGTTTAGTGCTCTCAATCCAGTTGAAAATAAATAAATTCTCTTTTGCAATAGATTCTGCTTGCAGCTGTGAGAAGCGTTTTAATCTTGTATTGTGGACACACATCAAATCAATTCCATCTGAATTGTGAGTATTCAAGCCAGTTGGACAATTTTACTGCAATCGAACTCAAAACAGATAGTAAAAAGGGAATAAATAATAACACGCTGTGATTTGTAACAAACCATCTGTTACAAATCTTAATTTATTTTTTTATTTAAACTGCTAATTGTAAGTTGTGACATCTTTAAGGAAAATACCCCCATTTAACGGATGTGTCATCTCTGTCGCACAAAATATAAGCCATTCAGTTGTTTATTTAGATGAGTTAAGCCTAAAACATGCACAAACACGAGTAATACCGGGGAAAAAAATACCTCTACCAAGGAACTCTATCTTAGTTCTGGAAATCAGTTTTTAACCACAATTCTAGCCGTTTTGAAACCTGCATGGATTTTTTAGATATGAAAACAAAGTCCAGATGAGTGTAAGGTATGCTGTATCTCAGGTAACCTTATCTTTATACGAGTTGAAAGAAGGTGAGCGATACAGATAAGAATAGCGGGGCAAGAGCCACTTATGACAAATTCTTCGTGATAAGAATTATGTTGAGGCAATCAAGTAACAAGAAAAAGAACCACGCCATTTTTGATATTTAGTTTTCGCATTTGGATTATTAACTCGATTATTTATTATTAAAGGTAAGTGACCTTGTTAATCAGTGTCTATTTCTAATTACACATTTGTTGTATGATAGCTAGCTATTTTGGCCATAAACAAGAGGATCATTTTAACAAAAATATTCGAATCCAAGCGTTTGTTTACAATGCAACGGTTTTGAGGTGTAGCTCAAAATGTAATATTTCATTAGCAATAGGATTAAACAATTGTAAAATGTTTCAACTATACACGGCCATAGGAGGTGTCTGGTCTGAAAATGATTTCTATATATTTTTTCTCTTTTCAAGATTGATTTTTTCTTCTTTCAGTTTATGTAACTCCCATTATTATAGTTTAGACACCTCCTGATGTTCGGTTAATTACAGCCATTTCCCCCTTTCATTCTAATGTTTTTTTTTGTTAATTAATTCATTTTAGGCTTGGTGAAGTTTTTTTTTTTTTTCAGTTTATGCAACTTTCATAATTAAAGTTTAAATATCACCGGATGTTCTGTTCAATAAAATTCCTTTTTCCCTTGCCCCTAATGTTTTTTTTCGTTAATTAACTCATTTTAATCTTGGTGAAAGGGAGAATTGGGTTTAAAATGAAGCATGTTATTTAAAATAGTTCAGTTGCTATGACAACTATTCTTGTAACACAACTATTAAAAATACTATAATAGCAATAAGACAACTATCAAAAGTAGTAAAATTTAACAACTATTCTCTACCAAGTGGACATTTCCTTCTTCCTTTTTTTAACCCGTATTTTTTCTAAACCCATCAATGTCTGAGTTTTTTATTACAATAATATACTACGCACGTTTACAAAAAAAAAAAAAAGTGAAAAAAGTGAGTTATCTTTTACATTTTTTTTAAATTTTATTTTTCAAGAGCCAACATGAATGTTTTTTCAACTTTTTAAAAGCATATTGTTTAACTAATTTTTTTTCAAGAGTTTAATTATAGTTAGAATTTATATTTTTCTACGCGTAATTGTTTTTGGGAGTGTCACTGTAGACGTGATGACGCTACTTAAAGTGTTTACTCTTAAATTTGAAAGATTTCCTACTTATTTCCTTGACCTAAAATATTTTTGTTTTCATAACTATTGTTCGCACATTAAAAGTTACCATTTAGCCAAAGAATAAGAACTGGTAATACAATAATAAACAAAAATACAAAATATAATAAGACAAAATAAAATAAGACAAAATACAATAATATAAATATAACACTGAATCGAATCAAAAAATAAAAACTGCTAACACAATTATTTCATTCTTAATATGTACCTAATATAAACAAAACAAAAAATTCAAGACCAACATAATATATTAATAATACAAGCGTCTATATTTTGAGCATAATTAAATCCAAAACGATATTTAACTACTCAAGTGGTAGCGTGCACAAGGAAATATCAAATTAGTCTAAACATAAATGCCCTATCACTTTTTTTTATATATATAGAAATACTTTTTACATCACTACAAAATGATGCGTTTTTGCAACAGGTAAATCTAAAACGGGTAAAAAAGAGAAGAAAAAAAAATCCCTTCCTAAACGAGCATAATTTATTCAGTTAACCATTAAGTCATTAAGCGAGTTCAGTTAACCATTCAGCCGATAAGGTAATGTAACTTATTCAACTAACGATCAACCCTATTCAGTTAATCATTAAGCAAAAAAGATTTATTGAGTAAATAATAGGTTTTGCAATTACATACAACGCCTAGTTTTTACGATAAAAAAATTGGGAGTGGTCTCATTTTTTCTTTACAAATTGCTGAATTCGACAAACAATAGTGAACATTAAGAACCCGTGACCGAGTGAGCGAAAACGAGGGTTGAGGAAACTTTGCTATCTAGACAAATGAGGGATTGTTCAATTGTGCTTTTTATTTTTACACTTAATCTAATGAAACCAATTTTAAGTCAATAGGACTAATAGCTTAGAAGTTATCAAACATTTTTTTAATGTAGTAAGTTTTTAAAAGTTCTTTGCTATCTAGGCATTGAATATATTGATATCTAACATGCTATCTAGCCATGTGAATTGTACTCTTGCTCATGAAATCTTTATAACTTGTTACTCTCTAAACTGATTTTGATATCATTTGATTTAGCTCGAAACAAAACATATGATTCACTACATCATTTGTCTTATATAGCAATGTCAGACAAGTAAATGGGTGTAAGTACGTAGCTGGGATTTTTATTCGTAGTAGCTTTTATAACTTTTACACTATTAGTTGTTTGACTTTGCCTAATTTCATTCTGTACATCGCCAAATAAATAAATAAATTGCAGGGAACAATATTTTACTGGCAACGAGGGCACAATCAGATGCGTAAGTACACTGTAAACAATTTCGGATCAAATTACGGTAAAAAATACAGGCACTCTGAGTACCGTAAAATTCATTTTTACCGTAAGGTGTTACGGAACAAAATGACTGATAAATGCCGTAAATTTTACCGTAATATTCATTATGAAATCACTGAATCTCTATAATTAAATAAATGTAAAATCACTGAATTTCTTCAATTAAATAAATATTACTGAAAATTACGGTATAACATTTTGCGGTAGAAATTGATTTGACGTACAAGTTTTTTCGATTTGGGATTTATCTGTTTCAATAAACGTAAAATAAAGCAGAAATAATGCCTTATTTTCATAGGTAAAACTGGGTAATTTTTTTTCTTCGTCTTTTTAATTGGACTGCCAACCCGCAAAAAAAAAAAAATAAATAAATAAATAAATAAATAAATAAAAAAAATTAAAAGCAGCATAATTTTTAAGAAAAACTTTCGAAAACTCATCGTTTTCTCTTTCTAATTATTTGAAAAAAAGTTTGTTAAAGTATCTCTGCTTGGAATTTTTATTTTCTGAATATTACAATAGAAAGGTAAAGCAGAGAGTTTTCGAACATGACTTTTGAAACTACATTACCAGTTTTCTTAGTTTTCCCGAAACGCTTATTAAATCCCTATGCTATGCCTATTTATCCCATATATAGGGTAAATTGGCAATGTTTGTTAATATTTTTTTCAAAAAATGTATAAACATAAGATTAACCCTTTGTACTCGAGAGTGACTGTCCGGCTCCATAAATTACTCACCACTCAGAATGTAAATGTTTTTATGTTTAGTAACCACTTTATTTAATGATCTCAATCTGTTATAGGGTAACTGTGCAAACTGTTGGATTTGTCTTGCAAACTCTAAAGGTTGCCCCTTTTTTTATTGATGAAAGAACCTCCACAGCAAAGAGTTAAATTTTAAATGCCTTTCATCATTCATTTGCGATCAAGTGGTCTAACTAGTCAGAAGCTCAATCGGAATTATAGAATAAAAATAGATAAATCAACATCTAAAAACAATGTCAAGCTATATCACTGTCTCCTAATGGTTGCTAATAGAATTATGTAGTTATTTCACTATCATTCTAACCACCCTGAAAACACGAACACATTTTTAGGAACTTATAAATGCTTCAGTTAATAAATTTGAGTCAGCAATATTCCAAATGCGTAGATTTCCTAAGTCCACTCCTCAAAACTGTAGCAGATTTTTCAATATGTCGGGATTACACTGTACTAGCTGAATTCCCCTTCCTAGTACGCGGGGAGAAAATGAAATGAATAATCAATAAATTAGTTCTAAATAACACTTAAATCATGCAAAAAACTGAAATACTTACGTATACCAAACACAATTTATGCAGCTGAAATAATTCTCCTCTATTTTTATTTATTACGATTTGGTACAAGTGGCTTTATGCTTTTAGTTTAAGAAAAAACACGTTTTTAGCGGTTTATCCTATCAAAATAAAGATTAAGCTGTATTCAGTATCATTTGGCATGATGCTGTTGCTCAAGACTGATTCACGATAGTCAACATTTACTATAATTGAGTGATTTTTTTCTGATATTTATCACTTTCGAGGGGATGTGAAAAACGTCTTTCTTCGGTTACTATTATAAAACTGCAAGGTATATTCCAACTTATTTTAGATGAGTCGATGAACAATCACTCTGCTCTATTGTTGCGTTTACAGATGNTGCTAATATTTTTTTCAAAAAGTTTATAAATTCAACATTAACCCTTTGCACTCGAGAGCAACTGTCCGGCTCCATAAATTACTTACCACTCAGAATGCAATTGCTTTTACGTTTTCATGTTTAGTAACCACTTTATTTAATGGTCCCAATGTGTTGTATGGTAAATGGGTAAACTGTGGGATTTGTCTCGAGAACTCTAAGGGTTGCACCTTTTTTTAATTGCTGAAAGAACCTCCACAGCAAAGGGTTAAATTTTAAATGACTTACATCATCCATTTGCGATCGAGTGGTGTGGTTTAACTAGTTAGAAGCACAATCAGAATTATAGAATAAAAATAGATAAATCAAAATCTAAAAACAATGTCAAGCAATAGCACTGTCTCCTAATAGTTTCTAATTGTATTATTTAGTTATTTTACTTTCATTCTAATCACTCATTTCTGAAAATACAAGCATATTTTTAGGGACTTATAAATGCTCTAGTTAATATATTTGAGTCAGCGATATTCCAAATACGCAGATTTCCAAAGTCCACTCCTCAAAACTGTAGCAGATTTTTCAATATGTTAGGATTACACTGTACTAGCTGAATTTCCGTTCCTAGTACGGGGGGGGGGAGAGAGAAAATAAAGTGAATAATCAATAAATTAGTTCTAAATAACACTTAAATCATGCAAAAAACTGAAATACTTACGTATACCAAACACAATTTATGCAGCTGAAATAATTCTCCTCTATTTTTATTTATTACGATTTGGTACAAGTGGCTTTATGCTTTTAGTTTAAGAAAAAACACGTTTTTAGCGGTTTATCCTATCAAAATAAAGATTAAGCTGTATTCAGTATCATTTGGCATGATGCTGTTGCTCAAGACTGATTCACGATAGTCAACATTTACTATAATTGAGTGATTTTTTTCTGATATTTATCACTTTCGAGGGGATGTGAAAAACGTCTTTCTTCGGTTACTAT